TTTCAAAATTAGATAAGTATGGCTTCCTAAGGGAAGTAGAGGCATTGAAACTAATATTCAAGGACCCAAAGTAATTTGGGTACCAAAAACAAAGTAAATGTCTCTTGTAAATGTGTTGGAACAATGATTATAAAGGTAAAGAGTTTGGATGCTCTAATCACATGGAGGAAGGATGTGTAACCTCTGAACTTAAAGTTTATTGATTTTGTATGTTGGTTGTCTATTGTTTTTATGTATGCATGAGTATTGATCATGAATGATTGATTACATGTTGTTTGTTATCTCATGTATGTTGAAAATGTGTTATGATGGACATATTTTAAAATTATAAGTTTTTATCATTATTTAGTTCATCATAATATTTTTTGTCAAGTAATATTTTTATGATTTCTTTAAAATATCTTGACCAAAATGTGCTTTTGTTGATTTTTTTCTTCTTTAAACAAGTGACATCCATGGTTTATTGAATATTTTTTAAAATTGGATTCACTTTAAATTTATGGTACCAAATATTATAATATTTTTAAAATCTCTTTCAATTGGTATCATTTAAATGATGAATATGTAAGAAAATTTTAAATATTATGCCTTATTTGACATCCTCTATACCTACAATTAATATCATATTTTTTTCAAATATCAATTGATATCAATTTTTTTCAAATTAGTATCTCATGAGTTTTATCTTTAAATTTTTTTTTGGGATATCTAAGTAAGGGGGAGTTATAGAAAATGATTTTAATAGATTTGAATGAATGCAAATCTAAATAATGCAAATTGTGATTTATGAAATATATTTTTCTATTACATGATTATATAGTAATTAGTTTGAATGTTTATCAATTGATTTTAATTGTTTGAATTTTGATATTTTGATTCTTTTACTTTTTGTATATTTGCATATATATGCTTAGTTTTCATATCTTTAATATGCTATACATATGGTTAAATGTTCATGCATGTGCTCTCATTAACAATTGCTATCCATATTCAATGCATAACATTATGTAGTACTTTATGCATGTGAAATTCATTATGAGTTTTCTTTATATTGCATAAAGTATGATAGTCTTGAATTTATTGAATTTCATGTGTTACTAACATGTTTTCTCTTCTTATTGAAATTTAATTTACTTCTTATAGGTGTTTAGGTGTTTTTATGCCAAAACTTTTCATGGAATGTCTTATTAAGGGGAGTTTTGTTTTCAAATGATTTTGTGCTTAAATTTTTATTCTCTTTTAACTTACTCTCTATTGTTATTTTGAACCAATAAAGTTTAGATAATTTTTTATATAACAAAATGGGGGAGAATTAAGAGAAATTTTAAATTTCTCAAAGGAAAAAAGGGAGCTTAATTTTTTTTAATAAATTCTATTTTTCTAAAGGGGAACTTTTGTCAAAAAAATAATTTTTCAAATAAGTTTTGGTATATCAAAAAGGGAGTGATTGTTGAATTATATTTTGATATAACAAATATTTGTAAAATTGATTTTTGACCTAATTAAATATTTTAAAAACAATTCAATGTCCAAAATAACTTGAAAACGTGTATTTTAAATTGTTTTATATGTATGAAATATTTTTATGTTTAAGATGTTTAAAATGTGTTTAAAGCTTTTAAAATATGAAAAATACTATTCAATTACTGATTGACATTGTTCATGACATTTTTCATATACAAGTACTATTCACAATTTCGAAACTTTTGATAAAATTTCGAAACTTTGTCCCCTGAAATTGTTTTAACGACCCAATTTTCTTTAACGGTCATATTTTTAAGTAAGAGTTTCGAAACTTTGATTTGATAAAATTTTGAAACTTTGCCCCCTGAACCTGTTTTAACGACTCGATTTTCTTCAACAAACATAATTTTTAAGTAAGAGTTTCAAAACTTTCATCAAAGTTTCGAAACTTTCAAAAACAGTGTGTTTAGAAGTTTCGATACGTTCACAATAGTTTCGAAACTTCATGTGCAGTTAACCTTAATTACATATTTTTAAAGCTACCAACCGTTATAATTCATCTCCAATGGTCATAATCAGCTAGCAACTCATTTCACACAATAAAAAAACTCAAAGAATACTTGAAGAAGGTTACTACACCTATCCAACCTAAGTGTTTAGAAAAGAATCTTCATTTTTCTCTTGTACCTAAATGTATAGAGCTTAATTGCATATCTTTTATATCTGTTCTTGTGAGCTTAATCCTTGTAAACACCTACTTAGAAAGGTCTTCTTGTTTACATAAGTTATCATTTGTTGAAAAGGGGGTGATTCTAGTTTAGTCTTGAAAAATTAGAGAATTGTAAGAGTTACCCTTGAGCCTAGAAAAAAAATAACAAATTAATAAATTTATTAACAAATCCTTAGTGTGGAGCTAAGATAGTGGATGTAGATTTCATTAAAGAAGTTGAGTCACTACAAATTATTGTGCAAATTGTTTATATTTATTTCTTCCACACCAACTTTTTTTAAAGGTCAATTCACTCCCTCTTGACGATTTTCGATTGATCGTTTCGATCCTAACACACACACATATATTGAGTTACTTGCGAGCTTCATGAGTCGTTTGCGAGTTTTTTTGAGTTAAATATCATGTAACTCGATTTAGCTCGTTAAGAAATGAGTTGAATTCAAACTTAATTCAATCTAATTTTCTTTAACTGATTAAGAACTCAAGTAAAATTCAAACTTAAATCAAATTTATTCAGATTAAATATTAATCAAACTTTAACTAAATCAAACTCAAATAAACTATTATTTATTCGACTCTCGTGTAATACCCAAATCACTGCTGAAGCTAGCATAAGGTCATTCATGTCTTATGATTACTACGAAAGTTGGGCAGGCAATGGAGGCTGCCCCTTAACAAAGTCCCAGCTATTAATTACTACAGGACAAGCGGACCATTTAACTATGAATGCCACAAGACTTAGATTTTGGGTGCACAAGTACACGATTCTTCTGTCGGCTTCGCACCGACGAACTCAATAATTTATTTTTCATTATGAATAATGTATAGTTTTATAAAAAAATAATTAGTTATATATTTTGAATTAATAAAAAATAATTTTGTTAATAAATAAAATAAAATATATTAAATTTATTATAATAAAAACTAAAATAAATTAATCATAGTAATCAATTATTCTCCTTAAAATCGTCAAATAACACAAAATATATATTAATAAAATAATATAAATTAATCACTAAATAATAATCTTTACGTGAAAAAGATTAAAAATTTAATAGAATAATTTGAGAAAATAAAAAATATAAATAATTATCATTATTTGAAGTGTTTTTTTTATAAAGAAAATGGGTCTCATTAAAACCCTTTATGAGACTTATAAGGGGAAAATAGTATCCAAGGACCTTGTATTATCATAAGAAGAATCACTAGATACAACAGACGTGATGATCTCATGACAAACCAAATCAAAATACAAGGCATTTTCATAATAGAGAGTCCACTTAACAAAACTATGTGCCACAATATTACAAACTCTAGAAAAAATATACGTAATAATTTAAATTAGCATCCAAAATCCTTCGAACTTCTCGAAGATGACAACCCAACGAACAAGTCCTCCTTTGGTCGAGATATCTTGTTAACTATAAGGGTTGAGTCCGATTCAAAGACTACATGCGTCTATCGATACTCACCCGCTAAAGAAAGTGCCACATTTAGATCATGAATCTCCGAAAGTCTAGCCTCAACACAATTTGGTGATGTAGCCATGCCACCAAATAGGCTCAAAACCACCATCAAGATTGATCTTTACATAACTTGGAGGGGAGGGTTGCCACTTTGCAAGATCAATACACGAAGCTGCTTTTGGAGAAGACCACAAAGTCTTTAAAGGATCAATACATGAAAGATAAACATCATTAACATTATTGTAAAAAAATGAATATAGTAATAATAATACATTGACATCAAATTTTATCTCAAATTAAATAAATTTATATTTAATAATTGATGGTACCTATCAATACGAGAAAAACAATTTAATATTCTAAATCAATGATAGATCAATAATATAACTATATAAACGTAAATCAGAGAGTTAATGTTAAACTGAATCTTAGAATGACGATATGTTATAAGAGAAAAAAAATATTTATAATTTTTATTAAAAATAAAAAGATTTATAAAAAGATTATAAAAAACTCATATATATATATATAAATTAATATGGTGAAAATGAAGAAAAAGAAAAGAAATAAGAAAATCACAACAGAAATAAAAAAAACATGAGTTGCATCCATTTAATTAAAGACTACTAATATTCTCCACCTAAATAATAAAAGGTAAATTATACGTTTAATACCTAAATGATTAGTTTTGATCCGTTTTAATATATATATTTTTTAAAATCATACTTAAAGTTTAGTTTTTGTTTTATTTTAGTACCCGTCATTAAAAATTTAGTTTTTGTTTTATTTTAGTATCCCATTCAAAATTTAATATTAAGTTTTGAAAATATTAAAAAATTTAGTACTAAAACGGACCAAAACTGATAGTTTATGTATGGTTTTGATCTTAAGTTTTTAACGGTAGGGTATTAAAATAAAATAAAAACTAAACGTTAAGTATGATTTTGAAAAAATGAAAGTTTAAGTACTAAAATGAACCAAAATTAATAGTTTAGGTACTAAATGCATAGTTCACCAATTATAAAAAAACATACTTAATACGTATATTATTAATATGGTTAAAAATCATTATAATATTCACTAATAATGTTATGCCACGTCAATGTATCAAATATAATTATTTTTTATCATATCTTAATGATTTTTGTTTTGTATGCCAATTTTATTTTTCTTTTTCTTTTTTTTAAAAATCCACAACAAATCCTTTCATCTCAGCCGTCGCCACCTTATAAATACGTTTCATTCTACACATGTATAATCACAAAGGTTTCCAAGCTTCCATGGCTTAAAATCACACGGCCAATCCCTAAAGGCGAAGAGAGAAACACGCAAGACTCAACATGGGCAATTGTGTTCTCAAATCATTCGGAGAAGTTAAAGAAACGGTAAGAGTGGTGACGCCTGGCGGCGGCATCATGGAGCTATCGCCACCCATCACCGCCGACAGCATAACCAAGGAATTCCCTGGCCAAGCCATTTACCGCACCCCGCACAGGCTCTCACGCCCTCTACTCCGCCACGAAAACCTCCGCACAGGCCACCTCTACTATCTCCTACCCCGCAACAACAACAGCAGCAAGATCAATAAGAACAACAACAATCTTGTAACACCTATTGCTTCCTCTTCATCGTCGTCGTCGTCGCCATCTCCGTATCGCATGTCGTTCAATCAGCAGAAGGCGTTGAAGAGAACCAACACGGGGGTGGCCCCGGCGCCACCGACAGTGTGGAAGGTGAAGCTAGTGATAAGTCCGGACAAGTTGGCTGAAATATTGGCGCAGGAGGCTCCGACGGAGGAGTTGATTGAAAGCGTGAGGACGGTGGCTAAGTGTGCTAATGGGGTGTCGCCGTCGGTGACTAATTCTGATCGGTGCAGTGTTGTTAGTAGTTGCAAAGGATCTCAAGTTATGCTGAAGATAGATGGTGACCTCAGTATTACTGTATAATGAGATTATACATATAGTATGTATTTTATGGTTAATATGGATTTACTCCCTCAAATTTTCGTTCCTTTTGAAATTAGGCACAAACAGATACGGTCGTCCAATGTTTGAATTCGGACTTGGTGTTAACAAGATATTTAATTAACAATGCATGTCACACCCTAAAGTTGGGTTAAAATTTTCAAAGTAATTATTTGGGGTTAAATTGAAGTATTTACGAAAATTCAGTGCTATTTTGCAAAGTTTTAAATGTATTAGGATTGGTTGTATAATTATTTTAAGTTTTAAGGTATCCAAAATGGGTAAAATACGTATTTAGTACTTAATTTTTCACTTTTGGTTGTTTTAGTACATGAACTTTTAATTTTTACAAAACTATACCTAAAATTCGGTTTTTGTTCCATTTTAGTACCCGCCGTTAAAAATTTAACAGAGGTGACATTGCATTTTTTAATAATTTTAAAATTTTTATATTAATTTTAAAATATTATATTATCTTTAAATTAACTATTTTCAAAATAGTCACTTTCGTTTGAGTATTATAACTTTCCCACACTTAATTAAAAAAATATAATATATGGTCACTTTCGTTTGAGTATTATAACTTTTACACACTTAATTAAAAAATATAATATATGGTCACTTTCATTTTATTTTAATTAAAATGTGGTCACTAAAGTTAATGATCGTTAAACCTTTTACAGTTTGCTGAAGTGACACAATAAATATATAAAATTAAAATTATATCATTTTCACGTATATAATACGTGGATTAAATTTTGGTCATTTTCCTTTTATATTTGTACACTTTTGCTCTCCAAATTCAAAAAACATAAGTTTTGGTCACTCACATTATTGTTTTATTAAGTTTTGGTCACTTACGTTATCGTGTTATTAAGTTTTGGTCACTTACGTTAGTGTGTTATTAAGTTTTGGTCACTTACGTTATCGTGTTATTAAGTTTTGGTCACTTGGACGTTGAACGTTGTTAGTTTGATGACATCACCCGTTAGTAAAATGGTTTAATTTTATTTTAATCCCTAAACTTTAGACAAAATACTGATTATGCATCTTTTGTAAATTAAATTAGTTTCGGGAAAACATTTCAATTTACCAATTTTTTTAATATTTTTTCTCTCCAACCCCAATATTGTTCATATACTCCTTGCTTCTTCTTCAGACATCTCTGCTCAATTGCAATAACCTTCTTGTTTCTACTTATTAGTTGTAATTATTTGAAGTCAAATTAGGTGGGTTCTCAATTGCAAGAATATGTATAAAACGAAGTAATGGAAATCATGAAAAATGTAGAGAATTTGTCGTTAATACTTTGAAAAGATTCACCACCACCACCATGACACCATTGCCTCGAGCTGAGATAACTAGAGTTTCTTCAATGACGACGTTATTGATGACACAATACCATATTTCCATCTCTGACACGTTGTTGACCTACGAAATCCCCATGATGCAAAAGATCGTTGAGAATGTTTCATCACATCCGAATGTGATCGACCTCCACAACGTTTACGAATATCAAATCGATGTTCACTTAGTATTGGAGCTCTTCCCTGGCGGTGAGTTTTCTGATCGAGTCATCACAGAAATGAGGTACTCTGTAACGTCATCCATACCGGGTTAGTGATCAAATTGTGAAATTTTAAAATTTAGTGACCAAAGTAGATAAATTGAATAGTTGAAAGATTTAATAGGAATGTTTCATGTAGGATGGATAAGCAAAGAAGGGAAATTAAGAGGGAAAAGGAGTCTTTTAGTCAGATAAATAATTAAATATTCCTTCAGGTTATTTTATAAACCACGTAGAAAGCATTTGAGAGAAAACAAGGTTCCAAATATTTCTCTCTCTTCTTCTTCTTCTCTAACCGTGAAGCTTGCAAGTAAAGGTGAGTTGTCTTCTTTTGGATTAATTCTTATGAGTTAAGCATGGTTTTGGTTAATGAAGATTTAGGAAAGATGATGGAGAGAAACAAGGACTTAGAAACTCAAAGAATTGTAAGTTAAGGGAGATTAAAGGTTGGGAGCCATTGAATGAAATCTTGGATTAAAGGTCATAATTAGAATTAGAAGCTGGATTTGACTTGTCATCAAGCTAATTAAGAAGTATGAGGTGATAGGATTTAAATTAGAACAAGTTAGAATTTGAGTAAGATTCTTAAATTCTATATGGAGAATTGGTTTTTTAAGTTTTAGAGGTATTGAGTGGATAATAATTAGTTTAAGTAAGTGTATGAAAGTTAGGAATATTAAAAGGAGTAAAATATAAAGGTTTGAGCTGAAATAAGATGATTTTCGAGCTCAAAATAGGATTTCTGGTCTAGAGGAATCGGTACCCATTCAAGGGGAATCGATACCCCCTCAAACGAATATGAAATTCCAGAATGCCAGAGGGGAATCGATACCCCCACAGTAGGGAATCGATTCCCCCCTAAAGAAAAAAAAATCAATTCCTTAAATTTGTTTAGGCTATTAGAAGTTAATTTCAAGACTTAGGCATCTGATAATCATCTTGAAAATTATGTTTATGTAGATATTGAGCCTAATCGAGTTTTGGAATAATTGACAAGTAAGATCGATCGAGGAAAAAGCAAGGAAATATAGGTGAGTGCATATGCATAGCATGAATATAGTATTATATTCAGTTCTAGACTTATGATAAGTCTAGATTCAATATTTGATACATGATCACATTCCATATTATGATACTTGACATGAATTCATATTATATGCATTATGTGACATGAATATGCAGGAAAAATTATATGAATTATGTGCTAAAGGTATGGAAAATTAAATGCTTATGTGATAAAGGTATGGAAATGATATGTCTATGCGATATAAATTATGTGAATTGTAAAAGCCCATGTTCTGTAGATGAGAACTATAGGTATAGTTGGCATGCCAAGGGTAGAGGGTCTACGCGGTCCTTCGGGATATATATATATTCTTTGGAACATTTGTGAGGTCTTTTGAGACACATAATTGATCCTTGGAATATGTATATGTTTCTTAAGGAATTTATATGTGGTCCTTTGGGAAAAATTCTACGCGGTCCTTCCGGACAAATTTCTACGCGGCACTTCGGTGCAAAAACTCTACGCGGCACTTCGGTGCAATTTATACGAGCTGTGGTGATAGCATAGTGCACAACCTCACAATACTCACGTACCTTAGGTTCTCAGTATGGTATCATGGGCCAATAAACTTATTAATACAAATTCGTGAATGTTAATGTAATATGCTTACGGGTAAGGATTATGGTGATATAAACTACATTGATTAAGTATATTTCATCTCATTTCATATCATTATGGCATTTTCATTACAGTTCCTTGCTATTATTATTACATTGCCTCACTAAGTCGATGACTTAGCGTGTGAGTGTTTCACGCGTAGGATCCAAGAAAGTAGAAGATACAGGTTAAGCAGCTGACAGCATTACTCCTGCAACTATCAGATCAGAAGCAACTTAATCAGTAGGTCATTTTGTTATGTAAATGGGTATTGGCATGTAACTAAAGGGTTAAGTTGTGTATGCTTTGAGTATTTTGGTAAACTTGTATTAATATATGTATATTATCGTATTTTCTTAATACAATTTTAAGTATTTTGTTATTATTTGTTAAGAGTAATGCTTGAAAAAAGTAATGTGACATCTCGGACTCGTATCCGGGTCGGGTACGAGTTGGGGGTGTTACATACTCGAAGGCGGCGCGTTGCCGATGGTGTGACATATCATGTAGGCCACAGGGGTTAATAGTGATTCATAGGGTTCTAGAATAAAAAATTGCTTGTTCTTGTTATTGGTTATCTGATGTTGAAGATCATAGATTTTGGATTGAGTTCAATGGATGAATTCGAGAATCCAATTATCGGGTTGTTTGGATCCATTGATTATGTTTCATTGGAGACACTTTCTTAAGGGTAAATAACCACGAAGGGTGATATCCGATTATCGAGTTATTTTGATTTATTGATTTGTCTTCTTGTTCCTTGTTGGATTTGACATTTTGCAATATCAATCTTTGGAAATTGATTTTTAGTTTGTATAACTGAGATTACCCAACTTCATTTTATCTCTAGATCCATACTCTTTCATTTTTCTCTGAACTTGTGGTGTTATTGTTATCGAAAGTTGGAAGATTTTCATTGTTCTTGAAATGTAGCATGAGTCCTTGAAAGAAGGCAAATGGAGCAAAGATGTCTAAAGAAGAAGCGATGACAAAATGAACAACATTGGGTTAGGAAGAAATCCTATTAAAAATGAATAAATTGAAATGTTGTCCTTAAACTAATTTGAATTTACAAAATGATCAATAATAAGTATTTTGTCTAAAGTGTATGGTTAAAATAAAAATTAAACCATTTTACTAACATAGCACATCATCAAACTAACGACATTCAACGCCCAAGTGACTAAAACTTAATAAAACGATAACGTAAGCGAAAAAAACTTAATAAATTGATAATATAAGTGACCAAAACTTATATTTTTTAAATTTAGCTAGCAAAAGTGTACAAATATGAAAGGAATTAACCAAAACTTAATCTACGTATTATCTGCATGGAAATGATATAATTTTAATTTTATATGTTTACCGTGCCATGTCAACAAACCGTTAAAGGTTTAACGACCGTTAATCTTCAGAGATAAAATCTTATATTTTTTTGAATTTAGTGAGGAAAAATTTATAAAACTCAAATAAAAATAATTTGTAATTTACCCATTTTTTTTTTAATTTTTCTCTCATTTTGTGAAAACTATCCGCTGCATATTGCATCTTCCATTTTCTCCTCTCTTTTACTATATCATTTTTGTCATTTTATCGTGGTGGGTGTCACCACCGCTATCAATTGGTTCAACCCATTGTTTCCGTTCGTTTGGTGTCTTGGTTCTTAAGTTGACGTTGCCATCACCCATTAAGGATGAGTTTTGTGAAAACCACGGTCTCAGTTGTTTTCGTTGAAAATCAACTTCGGTGAGAAACTCTCCATGCCTTAATATAAGTCCGAACTACACTTGACCCGTTGACACCCCAACATGAAAAAAATAAACAAGAACGTAACATTAAGTACATTTGCTAATTAGGATAATTTCCGTACTAAACATGCAATTTCTCACACTATTAAAGAAAACAAATAAATGATCTTATTAATAGAATTAAAAATTTTATAGTCAAAATGGAATTCTCACATAGTTAAGTGGTTATGGTGTAGTTTACCCTTAAAATATATACATTTTTTTCTCTCTGGAATTTCCTTTTAAATTTCCCGATCCAGACTCTCAAAACTTTCTTCATACATCACCGCCGCCAATCAAGCCTCGTCTTTCTCGTTAAGGTAATTTCTGAAACCCTAAATTTAGTTTGAAGATTGATTTCTACTTGAGTTACGATGTTTCGAGTTATCATCTCTCTGCCTCTGTATCAGTCTGCAATATATGGTTTTCTGTTTTGGATCGTAATGCTTATTTCTCTCTCTCTCTGATTACTTTGTTGTGAAGGAATTTTTAGTTTTTTATTGACAAAAGCCATCGTGTTTTAGCTGAAATAGCCGACTGATATCGTTTCTGTTTTCCGTTGCATTTGCTATTTGCGGCCTCGATCCGCTGCTCCTTTGAGGTGAAATTTATTCAGGCCGATATCGAGGTCTTTAGCTATGGAGGGCGGCGCCGCTACCGGGAAATAGCGGCCGGAATAGCGCTATTTAAAACCCTATTAATACTTGAAGATTCTCCCCTAATTTAAGGGTTTTAATGTTGTGTTTTCTGTTTGTCCTTTCTCTATTAGGTTTCTGCTGAAGATAAGGTGCCACTATTTTTTTGGTGGAAATGAGGCCAGTTTTTGTGGGGAATTTCGAGTTCGAGACTCGGCAGTCAGAGCTGGAGCGTTTGTTTTCAAAGTATGGGAGGATCGAGCGGGTTGACATGAAATCTGGTAAATCTTTTTATTAAAACAATGAATGTGAGACTTTCTGAATTTAAAATTGCATCTTTTATGTGGTTCGTTGCATCTTCACATGTACATTTTGTTGATAGTTTGCCGATTGTAGTACATTTTCTTGACTTTAATTGATTGGTAATGGGAACTTAGTAGTTAATATCATAGTTTTTCTTATTGTTCTGGAATCTCAATCACTTGCAAAAGGTCGCGTCTCCTCAAATTCATTTCCCATTCAACACCTAGAGAATTTTTCTCATAACAAATATTCCCGTGAAATTACTATTTTTGGTTTTTTTCTTCCTTCACATTGCTAACTTTCATGATATCATTTTTATTCATGGTAAATGAACAACTCGTATGTTAGTTTTGTCCTTCAAATCTGTGACCTTGTTTCCTGTCCATTCTTTAATTATTTCCTCAACTTATCTGAGGCTATTGTAATATGGGAAATGTTAGGCTTGATTTGTTGAGCTGTAGTCTTGCTTATATCCTGGCTTGAGGATGCATGTGACATTGATTTTTGAATGAATGGACTCGTTAAACAGTCAATTTTTTTTTTTTGGAATTGGATGTCAGATGTACATATACAGGGGTCTGTATATCTGATCACACTAATTGGGAGAAATTAAATGACACCTGAAGGGTTCCAGTTTAGTGGAGAAAACCATTGCATATTAAGTGTTTGTTTTGGCGCAGGACTTTCTTCTGAAGGAAAATGAGCTTCTATATGGGCTCACCAACTTTCCGCAAAAAAAATCATGCCTGCCTGTCTACTCTCCTGCCACTCACTGATGTCATCATCCTGCATTTTCTTCACTCGATTATGTTACTCACCATCCTCACTGGCTGGTGTTGACCTATCAAACTATCATGTCATGCCTTGTACCTCTGACTATAGAGGATCACTGAAATCTGTCATGCAATGCCTTCAATTTCTGAACTCCTGCTGTCTGAATGGCGAAACATGCTTTGCAATAATGTCTCAGACCCTGAAAACTTGGATTTTAACTTTTAACATGCCACCATCTTGATTTAGTGCATCATGCAACGCTTCTACATCCTTATGTGCATCAGCCTTCCTTCACCTACTTGCAGGTGCTGTATATTTTCTTAGTTCTTGCAGGGAAAAGAAATCCTGTGATTTGGCTGATGTACCTGTAGTTGTGTGTGAATCGCACCAATTGTATAAACTGTCATTTCTGCCTCTGATTTTGGTTTGTGTTATAGGGTTTGCTTTTGTTTATTTTGAGGATGAGCGTGATGCTGAAGATGCTATTCGTGGACTTGACAATATGCCTTTTGGATACGATCGTCGGCGACTTTCTGTGGAGTGGGCTAAGGTATGTTATTGATGTGTGAATCAAATCTTTCTACAGTTGCTGGTTTTGATTTTAATGGCTATGAAAGCAAACAACTTATTTTGAGGATAATTTTGTTGTCAGGGAGAACGTGGTCGGCATCGCGATGGTTCTAGGTCAACTACAAGTCAAAGGCCCACCAAAACGTTGTTTGTTATCAACTTTGATCCAATCCGCACAAGGGAACGAGACGTAACGAAGCACTTTGAGCCATACGGGAAGGTTCTTAATGTTCGCATTAGGCGGAACTTTGCATTTGTGCAATTTGCTTCGCAAGAGGATGCTAGCAAAGCCCTTGAGGCAACACAGAGAAGGTGGGAATATACTTTTTTTTGTTATTAATTTCATGTGAGATGATATTGCTCCTAATTTATTAATGTTTGTGCATTTTACAGCAAGTTACTGGACAGAGTCGTGTCTGTCGAATATGCTTTAAGGGATGATGATGAGAGGGATGGCAAATATGATAGTCCTAGAAGAGTTGGTAGTGGTAGACATGGGGATAGTCCACATCGGAGGTCTCCAAGTCCTGCTTATCGCAGGCGACCAAGTCCTGATTATGTTAGGGCTCATAGTCCCGTTTATGATCGCTATAACGGTCCTGCTTATGACAGGCAGAAGAGTCCCGCGTATGGGAGATACCGCAGGTAATGTGATTAAAGCTATTTGTTGTTTGTAGTTGGGAGAATATATTATAACACGTTTCAAATTATTTATTAATATTTCCATAATTGATTGCATCCTTCATGTTCAGCCGATCGCCTGCTCGAAGGTCCCGGACATGAATGACAGATTGATGGAGAAAACGTGTTGTTCTCTGTGCCCATCATAGTTGTTGCTATAATCAGTAGAATGGGTAGCTTTTTTCTTTTCTTTCCCGTTGAACTCTTTTAAGTAGGGATATTGTCTTAGGTAAACGTACAATTAATATTATGGTAATTTTCAGTATGAATTTGGATTCCAGTTTATATGTAGCATTTGTTATGATAAAAAAGATGTTTGCTGGTTTCTTCCTTTATGCTTGCCTGTACTTAACACCCATCTTCTGAAATCCCAAATCAAGTACGAGTATATAATTTTTTTATTAATCAAGTAAGCACAAGACACCTTAAGGAGTAGGTACCACTTAATTGAGTATATGTTTATATGATTAAATACGTATAAAATTATAATCTTTTAGTTATCATAATAAAAATATTAAACTGAATTAAATAATTACATATATTTAATTGACACTATTTATTATTGATATTAAATCTGTACTCCATATTTTATTTGTAAAATGCCTCTAATATATGGAAAAAAGGGACAGCCATTTTTTTTATAAGAAAAAGGAGAATTGTCTAATACTAAATTCGTGATTTAATATTAATTGAACTTAAAATTACATTCTTTATTAATTTGATTGATTAAATTTTTTTATTGATCAACTAAGAATATCTTTCTTTTAGTTGTTGGCTTTTAATAGCCAAATTTTCTCTAAAAAAAATGAAAAGTCATTGCTTTTAGGTAACGATGATGATAATAATAATTTCATAACTAGAATAAGTATAATTTTAAATAGAAAAAATCATAACGGAAAGGACAAGACACAAGAAAAATGTTCTCTTAAAATAACAGATATATATAATATTTTTGTGTCCTCAATAAACAAGGTGATGTTGTGTAGTTGGTTATCACGTCAGTCTAACACATTTCAGCGTTTGACACTAAATTTTTATCATATATTAGACTGGTTTACCACATCTGTTGATGGCTTAGTAGATATCTGTCGATTTTTAGCTCCTCGCCATCTTCTGTTTTTGTGTAGTCTGTTGATGAGCCTGGGTTCTCTACACTTGGGGTAACAACTTTATTATCTTCATTTAACCAATTCAAGTTATTTGAAGTTTCGAGCTAATATAACCTAAACCATTAATGTTTATCGATTTAATTTTAAATTAGTTTCATGAGTTATGATTTCTGATTATCCCCTAGGCTGTTGTTGCTGCCAATTTATGTACCATACTTGTCTAAAAAAAAACACTTTCGTGTAGGAACAAATATCAAATTTTATGTCAGTGAATAAACTTTTAAAATTTCAAGAAGAGACTAATTTAGAAAAGGAAATAACAACACATGTTTTAATTTTTTTATTAAGTTCAAACTGAATAATCTATTCAATAGGTTTTGCTTTATTAAGTAACCATGTAGCCTGGTTTATTTCATTTCATCCTTTAGACCCAGGTTCGAGTCCTTTCCCATGCGTTTCACATTTTCATAGTTTCATTAACCAAAAACCAATCAGAGAGTGACACGTGTCATTCTTTGATTGATAAGAATTAATTAAATATAAATAACAAATTTATTTTTTAAATCTGACGTGACACTGCCACATCATCAATCAACATGAGCTGGACATCCATGTCAACTTTTTCTTCCATGTGTGCGTGCACCATCAGCATCAGGCGTTGGCCGTCAATTGACTGGCGGTTTCCATCCATTGTTGGTTGTTTTTGACCCAAAACTAAACATTGAATGGTCAAATGTTCCAAAAACAATACGGATAAGTTTGACACCAGTGTCAAACGTTAGAGTTATTTTATTGCATTATGCCTATTTTATATGTACATATCTATGTGTAGTTTATGCTGATGTGATACTATTTATTTATATGTTAAAGCAGTAAATCATTAAAAGGTATTATAGAAATATTCAAAAAATCAAGGGTAAAGTACTTTAAAGATCATTGAACTATATTCAATTGATTGTTTTGATCGCTAAGCTTTTAAAAAATTATACAATGGTCAATCAATTTATCGATCTGTTACAAAATGATCACCGTTCTGTTATAGTAATTGTAATTTTTTTTAATAAATTCAATAAAAATTTTGTTATAATGCGGTAAAATCTAATGATCAATTTGTAATAATTTGACAAATTTAATGATCATTTTATAACTTTTAAAAATTCAACAACCAAAATCATAATTTATGCATAGTTTGATGTCCTTTGGTCGTAAAATTTAATAATTTCTTTTTCAATTTTTACGGAAATAACATTTTTACTCGTTTTCGTAACATATATGGTCTATTGTATCTGTTTCAAAAGTATAGAGATCAAAATAAATTATACACTATAATACAGGGAGTTGTATAGTATTTTTACCGCTGGAAATGTTTTAAATGGCCCAATAGAAAGATCCATTAATTTAAGCCCAATTCACTATTCAAATTTCAGATCCGTTCCATTTTTCCATTCTTCTGAGTTACTTTTTGAATGTGATAATTTGGCGTGTCGCTTCCAATATATACCAAGAGCTGGCATGTGTGCTGGTTTCAAAATCAATTGAAAGAATGAGGAAGCGATTGAAGAGAACGAAGGGAATTTTCAGTTGCTTTTCTCCTCGTTGCACCAATCAATCTACCTTCAATTGGTAGTCTCTCGAAATCGTTTAAAATAATTTTTAGGAATTTTTCCGGGAATTTTCCGATATCAGTGCACTGTTCACGCGCCCCCACGCGCCACCACTGCGCGTGGGGAAGGAAAAATGATCGGTTTGACCGGTTTTGTAACCCATTTGACCGGTCACAACCCGACCCGACCCGTTGACCGTTGACCCGTTGACCAGCGTTGACCACTGTTGACCAAAACTTTGACTGGCTTTGACCGGGTATTAAACGACCTTTAACTTTGACCGAGAATACATATCCTGACATTTTTCGACGTTCCAAATCCGATTCCGCAGTCTGTTTCTCGAAATTCGAACCCGAAGGCCTCAAAATTATCGGTCAAACCCGTTGACTTTGATTTTGACCAAAGATTCCAAATTTTCAAAAGCCATATTATATGCTTTCGACGTCCTGAATCCGAATCCGAAGTCGGTTTTGCCAAATTCGAACCTGATAAGCTGTTTTTGACTGATTTATCATCCGATTCGATCCGTTTTTCAGAATTAAGCTCCGTTTTTGATGTAATTTCTGTTTATATGGATCCGAGGAAATATTGGAAGTTGAATTGAAGATCAAAGGTGTTGAATGGAATTTTTATGGTCGATCAGTATTACACGGAAATCGTGGTAATACTTTACTACGTCTTTATTCTTTATGGAACATGTTTATATTGAAAAATGCATGAATAAGATAATGTTGGTCACTTTGGTGGAGTTAAATAATTTATACACTTGATATGATGTGGTAGAAATTCAATAACTGATTACGGATCGAATGACTAATATAAGAGATTGAGAAATTGTTAGATTAAATTACAAGTTTGTGATTAGTGATAAAGAAATCAGCCCTGTATCTGCAACTTATAATTTATTTCATCAAAGGTTAAATGTTAAAGGTACTTGGATGAGAAATTATGAGAATACTCTGGTAGGGTAAAATTACGAAAATACCCTTATGTTATAAAAAGACAAGATTTGAATATGGAAGTTAAATAAGAGGATTTTACAGACATATTGATCTGATAAAATATTGATGTGAATAAGAAATGTTAGTTTTATTTGGAAATTATGGATAACCGGTTTTTAATCATATGAGAGTTTGTGAAGAATACTAGAAGTTTGTTAAGAGAACCGTTTCAAGATCAGAGAGTATTCAAGAAAGCAATTAATCATAGGATCTCTGAATTATATTATTTTCGTTAAGAGCTAATATCGAAATTATCTGGTTAAGAAATTACGAAAATGCCCTTGAGAGGTAAAATAGTCAGACTTGACCCTGAAGGAGAAAGCACTTTGAGGATTTGTACTTAACTCGATTAAGTACAAAGTTAATTATTAATATTCTGTCTTTGTAAAGAAAAATTCATAATATTGCGTTTGTAAAATACGAGAAGGCACTTGACCCGAAAATATCCGAGTTATGAGTAAATACCTGAAGAACAATTTATCGGAGGGTGCTCTTTTATCAGAATTGTTCGAACGGACTGGAATAGATGATAAATTGGAATTAAATAATAAGACCGGATGGAGGAAAAAGATTGAAATACAGTGGATCTGTAAAATAACCAAATTACCCCTGTAATGGAAATGACCCATGAATATCACCAAGCTCAGGAATGATGGGATATCCTTGAGCTCTGTTATGATTGGAATAAAACTGAAAACCAAAATGACCAAAATACCCTTATGGCCTATATTAAGTAAATATCTTGGATTAATTAAGGAATCCAAGTAAGCATAGGTATTAGACTACCTTTAAAGGTAATGGAAAAAATAGTTTAAGTGAGTAGATCAACCCTAAAGCTATGTCAATACCTGAATGGCATAGATATTACTGGAACATGTATTCGTCTTCTCAAGTTTGGCTCGATGATAAATTTTGAAAGTATTCAGCTCAGCTCAGCTCTAGATCGTATTCAATACTAAGAATTGGACGTTTGTTCGACAAATCAACCACGAAGACCAAATTAAATGGAATGGAAGTACAACATGTATCTGAAATTCAGGAACGTTTGAATTACTCTGGAAAATACTGAAGTAACTGGAATGGACATGACTGCTAAATGAACTAGGTAACCTCAATGACTGAGGATTTAATAAGTGATTTGGATAAGTCTGGAAACTCTGATGAGTTTACGTAGTGTACAATTACAATGGGTTATGAACAAATTAATCAAGTACGTCAGCATTCCATGATATTGTGGAAACGTGGAAATGAAATAAAGACATTGGAAGATTTATTCAGCGATGATTCCGAAAATGGTCTACGGACAAGAATTTGTGGTATTAAAGAGTAAATACCTTAGAAGGAAAATGAATTGACCAGTAGACATAGATTGTTAAGGTTCTGAATCTTTGTTCTCAAGTTGTT